TTCCCCCTAGCACTGTCTCTTTTTTGCCTCTCCTCACACTCGTGCCACTGACAGCTCGAGAGCCTTCTCCTCCACAGCTCGCTCACCAGAGCAGCCTCTCTGTGTCTCTGAACAGACCTTTACTCCCAGGTCTGTCCCCTTACTATCCCTCTAATATTAGCCCCGATGAATGAATGAGTGAATGAACGCACGCTCGACTGATTTAATCTACACTTTGTTCCCATTTCTTGCTCCTGTTATTTTTCCCAGATAAGCATTTGCGGTCTTGTTATTGCTTCACCCTTTGAAAGCCCATTTTGATACGTTTTGTAGGACAAATGCCGGACAAAATAAAGTGTTTTTTTTTATTCTATTGTGGAAGCGTCAGTTGTGTTAACTCTGGGATAGCTGGAGAAAACAGCCCTGCCAGGTTGGGAACAAAAAGATTGGTGGTCTAAATCTATGCGTTACATTTAGGCTTGGAAGGATTCGATTTTTATTGAGCAATGTGGGTAAACATCTATTGCACCGTCCATACACAAACCGACAAAAATAATTTCAATTGATAATAGACATTTACAGACAGGCAAAGCAAAAAAAATGCTGCTTGAGACTTAGGGCTATTTACGTTGTATATTTTGACAGGGGATGTTGACAATTTGTGTTCTAATGGTTATAAAGCTTTAATTTTTCTGAATCTCAGCATCTCCTGTCGTTAAATAATTGTTCTCTGAACCCGTCCCATTACCTGACCCTCCCCACCATAATTCCCTGCAACCGTGAACATGTAAATAGATAAAAATTGGGAAAAAATGCTTAAAAATAAACATTGATATCATCCATCCAAATGATAAAAAACAAAAATCCAAATGATTCTAGCTAGCCGGACTAAAAACAGCAGTGAAAATGCAGCAACACATGAGAACGTACCCCCAGGTTCTGGGCAGGCTAGTACAATTTGTGCTGATCCCTGGGATATCTCATCTTCACTGCTATTTTTAGCTCTGCTAGCTAGAGTAAATGTAGTGCAGGTCTGCCTAGCCGAGCGGCAATCACACATTCACTTGCAGCAAAGCCATGTCCAAAGAGTCACGGGTGGAAGTAGGAAGGATGGTTTTGTGACTGAAGCACGGGCCTGGGAGTTTGCACATCTAGGCACTATTCCTGGCTCTGCCACAAACTCCCTCTGGGACCTCAGGCAAATCACTGAACCGCGCCGAGCCTCCATTTCCCCATCTGCAAAATGGGGCTGTTGATACTTCCCTACCTCACAAGGGGGCAGTGAGGCATAATTCATCACTGTGTGTAAAGGGAGGTCAGAGCCTCCAGTGGAAGTTCTTGAATAAGCAGAAAGGATCATTGTAAGGAGGAAAAAGGGCCTTTCCTTGCACTTAAAGGACAAGTAGTCAGGAATGTTTGAGTGCACCTTGTAGGCTGCCCTGTGTTTTCAGTGGCAATGGAATTACCCACAGAATCCAGCCCTTGCAGCAGAAGTTTGCTCCAGAACTTTAAGCTTCCATTAAAAATAATTAAAATTTTAGTCTACATGGTGGTGGAGAAGGTCTTGAAAACATGAACTGACTGGATGTGAATTGATGCAGGGAGGTCTGCCTGAGTCTGCAGACAGCCTGACAAAAACTGCTCGCGGAGGCTGTGAGCTTCAGGGTGTGGACTCGGAAATGTAGGAATCACTGTGTAAATGTCAGAACACTGCCATCATATAAATTTCCAGTGCCTTCCATGTAGGCCCTCCATGAATATACACCATCACTGACTTAGGTCCCCCACTGGCCCGAATGTCTTCATCTTCAGCACCGTCATTATCACCTAAATCATCTGTCTGTTTCTTTGTAAGGGGACCAAGTCCACCAAGGTGATAGTTGACTGTGATGACTATCACACTGCAACACTGTTAACACTTTCACTGCTGATGACTTTACCAGAAACTGTGCTTATCCACACCCCTCTCTAAGTGCCAGGTTCCCTGAGAGCTGACTGACTCGCCTCTCACTGGGGAAACTGCCCAAGGCGCTGCAGAGACATGGCCCAGCTCCTATTACAGGGCCGGGTAGGAGGTAACCGGCCCCCAGTTCTATACAGCAGTGGATGGTGAACTCTCTCCTACTGCAGAGGATATACGCACACACATACCTTTCAGGCCACCTTTTCGCTTCATAAAGACGTAAACAGGGCACAGTGCTATTTTTCCATTGTTGGCCTCTGTTAATTCCTCATGTTTCCCCAAATGCTTGTGCTCTCCTGGGGTGAGATCCTGTCCGAACTGGGGGTCTGGGAGGAGTTTGTGGCCAAATTCACCCCTAACGAAGAAAATCTCTTGTGTGGATCAGGAGGGGGGACACAGCAAGCGGGCGGGAGATTGGGGTCTCTTGATTTCTTGAATGAGAAGTTTTTTTACTGGAAGCCTAGATCGGGTGTTTGGAGGCAGCGCACAGGAGATGGGCCTACAGAAGTCTCTGGACCCTAATGAAGGAGGAGCTGTGACCCACGAACAGAAGAAGGGGTTGAGTGCTTCCCATCATGGCTTCTACTCTTGTAGGGTTACCATATTTCAACAATCAAAAAAGAGGATGGGAGGCGTCCCGCCCCCGTCCTGCCCTAGCCCCGCCCCTGCTCCTTCTACTCCCTCCCACTTCCTGCCCCCCTCAGAATCCCCCAACCTTCCCCCTGCTCCTTGTCCCCTGACTGCCCCCTCCTGAGACCCTCCCCCCATCCTAACTGCCCCCAAGGACTCCACCCCCTACCTGTCCCCTGACTGCCCGAACCCTTATCCACACCCCCACCCCCAGACAGACCCCTGGGACTCCCACGCCCCATCCAACCACTTCCCACCCCCTAACAGCCCCCACCCCAGAACTCCCGACCCATCTAAACCCCCC